TATTAACATGTGCATTAGCAACTGTAGATGTGTTCCCGGTAAACTCGTACATTTTCGACCACCCTATTACCACTTTCTTATTTTTCATATTGCTCATAGGATCAGGATTGATTATGATCCTGCTTTTTCTTGCGGTAAGGTGAACCTACTGCGATTCAGTACATTTAGAAATTTTTTCTTCAGATGCTAGCTACGGGCATAGCCGAAGCTTGTTACTGTAAGAAGAGAGCCATTATGAATACATGCGATCCCGTAGTTTACAACTCTCTTTCAAGAATGTTCTGGGCTATTCCTCTTATGATTTCTGCTATCATCGCTGCTCTTGTTGATTTTGGTAAGATGATTATTTACTATCAGGGGCCTAAGGACATCATAACCGACGAAATTTCAGCTGGAAGAATAAGTCCTGAACCATATCTCTCCACCATAGCAGCTGCGCTTCTGCCTTCCTGTATCCTTCTAGCACACTTTCTTCTCCTGCCTGCTTATAGGTATCATGATTTGCTGCAATTTTTTCCAATTCTTAAGCCTCTGCTTTTACAGAACTGCGGTTTTCTGTTGCTGCGCAAATAATCGTCTACAGAATAGAATCATTCCTGTCTTGGTTCCACCGACCAGGCCACCTTCGACTGCAGCTCTAGTGGATCACAGTTTGACTCCCATCGTGAAGTGATAACTCTAACATTACATATCTGTACAGAGCTCAACTTCCTTTGCCAAAGTCACGGCATGTAGGGTTCCCTATTGTCGTTATTTTATTCGGAACCTTGTCATAGTAGACGAAGATGTGAAAGAGTCTGTTAGGCCATAGGACTTCGATATTGAGAACGTCCACGGAGTAATCTTAGAGTAGCGCCATAAAATAGTAGTACTGTAGCAGAACTTTCTAAAATACTTAGGAATTATTTTCCTCCCAAGGGATTTTATTTTTCGTTCTACAGAATATGTGGTCATAACAATGAATAATCATATATCCGACAACTGTAGTGTCACTTGTCTTCTGCACATTTTTGACTTCTTAACTGATGCAGTCTTTTCCGAGGATGGCGTCTTTTTTCTTTGTACGATCCACCACTAGTGACACTGTAGCTTGTCCAGCCTTTTTGCTTATTGCTGTAAATAAAGTTATTCGCAATACCCGTAATCTGTTACCCACCTTGACTGTGATGACTGGCTTTGGTAGTCGAATCCCTGCGAAGCCTCTTCTCCTCGATATTCATTCCCAACAGAAGAAGAAGCTTGCTAAAATCAACTAAAGTTAAGCACGAATCGTTATTTTCGGAAGAAAATGGATACCTAGCTTCGCTCGGTCACTATCAACATAACATAATAAATATCACTATTCTGTCCTACATCAACGCAATATTTACCATCGGTTCCTAGATTGCCGCAAGCGCGGGTTCGGGCGAGCGTATCAGCGGTATGTTGAGACATGCTTGATAAATTTATTATCGGATGTAGATCACGACCGCCCTAGCGGCAATAGTCGAAGCGATGTCGTGTACTTGTCCCTGTCCCGCTTTTATAGCCTATATTAGATTCAAAAAGCTCTGTCAATCCTTTCTATGAATCCCAAAATTGATAGCGAATGCAAAAATCTGGCTTGTAGCTCTTGCGCGATAGCGCCAGCTATCAAAACGCTATTTTGTTCAAAGAATAACTCTAAACCAGGAAGGAATACCCTGAAAAGGAGAGTACTGGTTGCGTTTAGGGCTGCAAAAAGACACATGATTATCAGCGCGCAGGGTTTGAAAATCAATTTCATCCCCTTTGTATTTTCATAAAGCGACATCCGATTACTACTTGCCTAGGCATCTAGAGCTTCTTCCGAGCAAAGAAAAGCTCACTGACTTGAATGTTCGATAAACGAGGTCTACCTTTTCGAAACGTTTTGGAAGAAGCTATGCCATGATATACTTGTAGTCCAAGATTGCCAATACGCCTTATAATAAAGAAGTCGATGAAATGCTTTAGCTCCTCTGTTAACAGAACTTTTCAAACAACATACAGTGACCGCCAAAAAGTTGCGGACAAGCCCC